ACCAAGCGTTTAACACATGGACTATTAGGGAACCCTTCAGATTCAAGTCACAGTAAAAATGGAGAGCAGCTGAATAACATTTGGGAGGACTTAGAGTGCAAGGCAATTCTTAAACTCTATAAAGGAACAGACTGCCATAGAGTCAGGAAGAGTTGAAGCAGACCGAGCACATGCATAGAAACCTGGCAGTCTGTGCCTGCCTGCCACTGCCACCTAAGAGCAAGACAGAAGGCCGCAGGCTCGGGGCGTAAGATAGGGAACACACTAGGTCGCTGGAAGTGCTAAGGAGAGAAACCACTTCGCTGTTTTAAGAATAACTAACAACAAACCAGAATAAGGGGCAGTTCTGACTCATAGAAATACAATGGAAACAATATATTCAATATTTAACTTTAACTTTTCCTGTGGGCATTACATCACTTTTAAGAGCGTTAGAGAAAAGGTGAAATAATCTTCACAGTTTCACTTAACCATTAGATCCAGAATATTCTCATTTCACTATGCAATTGGTGCGAAGGCCTAGTAACAAAACATTTTGCACTCTTCTTTCTGAGTCTTCGAACTGCAACAGGTATTTGACATTGAAGACGTCTCTCTTTGGCTAGATGTATTTTGAGCATTCAGAACAGCCCTATGTGGCTGGTAGTAACGATAGACCAGTAGGTTCAGTTGGTCTCAACATAGTAGGAGAATGGATAAAATAACTCTCTGCTGAGGTCTTATTTGGGAGGAGAAAAATATTCTAAACAACAATAAGATGAAAAGCATAGTCCACTTAAGTGCAGTGTGGATAATTATAGCATTAATCACTAAATAGTAAAAATAATGTGTTCAGTTTTCCACATATTTTGCAAAAACATTTCAAACACAGAGGACTTGGCAAATCCATGAAAAGCCTGTGTGAGCACATACCCACTCCAGTCAGCACAGTTAGTATGAAGGAATGAGATTTACTCACTAAAATCAATAAGTGCTTAAATTTGGGTTTAATAAAAAGAAAGAAAAGGGCAGAAATGACAATACCCTGATTCAGGCCTGTGACTACAAAATAAAATGGTGGACATTGATAATAAGTAGGAAAAATAGGTGTAAAACAAATGCTAGCCCGAAGTGGGAAGAGCCGAGCCGAGGACAGACAAATCACATTCACTCAAAAAAAAAAAAAAAAAAAAAAAAAAAAAAAAAAAAAACCCTAAAAGGACAGATAAAAACAGTGAAAGGAATGTATTGGTCATGAAATTTTATATAAAATTCTCTCCAAATAAACAATTGTAGAGAAGAAAGGCAAGGCATTTAAGGCATTTATAGTGCTAAAAATATGTTAGGGATTTTTACATATTTTTCTTGAAATTTAACATTAAATATGCTATTTTATAAATAATCTCAGATATTTTAAGTCCTAAACACTTAAAATAGGCACTTCTTAAAAGGGAATATTATTTTTAACATAATCTGAATGCCATATTACCCTTCTTAAATTGAAAAATATTATATTGGTATTATTTGATATCCAAACTATTTCCAAATTTTCTTACTTTACCAATCATACCACTATACATTTTGTTTGAATTAAGACTTTTGTTTATAAATATGTGTTGAGGTCTCCTCAACTTCTCTTCCCTCTCTTGTGTGATCATCCTATTTAAATCACCAGACCTGCACAGTGTCTGAGTATGTGGAGACAGGAATAATATTTGGGTGAAGGTGGAGTGGGTAGTGTTCAGAGTAAACAGTTGGCCAAAGGCCAGGAGAATTGTCACTTTGAAGGCATAAGAACCAAGGTTTCCAGTACGCTATGAATGGTACAGGGTACTTCATGTTGCATCACATCAGAATTTACACAATACAGTGTCCCAAATCCAGGACAGTCAGAGCAAGATTAGGAAACAATTAAGAGATTTCTAGAAGGTTAGATTTGACGCAAAGAAGTTATGAGAATTCCAGAGTACTTTGAGACAGAAGAGAGGCACTTTTAAAAACTTATTCTGAGAGTATGTGGAGAAGGGATTGTGGGTAAATGACAATGGAAACATAAATGCCAGTTAGACACTGCAGACAAATGTCCAGGCTCAGGATGTGGTACAGAAGTGTCCTAGGGTCTTGCCAGCGAGGTAGAGGGTTAGGGAATTTAAGGGTAGGCTAAATACAAGATGGCTCTAGGCTTTTGAAGGGGCGTCTTGGTGGCTGGTGACAACACCGAGTAAAGGAAAGGCAGTGGGCAAGAAGAGGGAAATACAGAGCTCCCTGAGTGGAAACCACACAGCTGCTCACTGGTGCTGGCCTCTGGAGACACAGAGAGCAGAGAAAGACAGTCCCATCAGATTTTGTTGTTGCTGTTTTGGTTTGGTTTTTGGTTTTTCTTTTCTTTTTTGTCTTTTCTTCTTTTCTTTCTTTTTATTTATTTGTTTATTTATTTATTTATTTATTTGTTTGTTTGTTTGTTTGTTTATTTATGGTTTTTTCAAGACAGGTTTCTCTGTGTAGCTTTACACCTTTCCTGGATCTCACTCTATAGTCCAGGCTGACCCCGAACTCACAGAGATCCACCTGCCTCTGCCTCCTGAGTGCTGGGATTAAAGGCGTGCGCCGCCGCCACCACCACCCAGCTCCAGATTTTTTGAAGGACAGTTAGAAACGAATGTGCCTAGCGCAGGCTAGGAGATGGGTGTGGATGTGGGGGGGCCCTTCCAATAGTTCACATGGGCAGGAGCAAAGCTAAGAACCAAAGTTGAGGGAATGACCAAGAGGATAGTGTCCAGAGATGAATGAACAAGACTTTTGATTGGCTGTACAGACAATGGGAGTGGGAACAAGAAGTTGGATAAGTTTCCAGGGTGGCACATGGATGAAGGTGTGAAAAGACATTACCTCAGGAACTCTAAGTTTAAGGAGGTGGGAACACAAATGTCTTTCTCTTAATCAAGCTGTGCTGTGCTCAAGGCTTGGGCCCAAGCCATTCTGTGGTCCTGTGCGTGATCCCAGGCTAGACCTTTTTAAGAAACATATAACAATGACAAAAAGGTCTCAATGACAAGGACATTGAGGTCCCTGGATCCCAGTGACAAACTTCATAACTCACTATAGTGCCCATGCTTAGTCCTTAAAAAACACTGCAAAAGAAATCCTATTTCTTGAGAATGAGAGGAGGGTGGGGGAATGAGTAAGATGGAATAAATTGCTTTGTTTTGTTCATAAACAGTGACTCTAAAAGCAAGGACTAGGGCTGGATGTAATGAAGGCATAGGGCACTTGTCTAACATGAATGAGGCCCTGGGTTCAACCTCTGGCACCACAAGGTTAAAAGGGAAAGGGGGCAATTTTCAAAGCACCATTTGTAAGTTAACAAATGCAGGGCAGGCGAGATGCTGGACTGAAAGTTTTACCTGTGGACTGCCCACTCTAGGTGGTACCTTGAAGAGACACAGTTGAGTTTCTGTTGCCTGAGACCAAGTCTAGTCATTTGTTAGTAACATTAAAATGCCAACAACTACAAACATGCACCAGATATACAAACATAGATTCAGCCACCATGAATGAATTGAACATAAGTTTGTATGCAGTTCCAGGATCTCTTACCCAAAACGTCTATCTGGGGAATTAGTCCACTCTAATAAGTGAATAAAGGAAGCAGGTGAACTTCCATTTGTCTCCATTACTTAAGCATTGCTTAGAAATATTTCAAAAGCCATGCTTACACAATGCTGGGTTCTGACTTTAGAAGCTATTGATTTGACAAATCCAAAGAGACTCTCAATCAAGAGGAGCTGACATGATTTCATAACGTGTCTAAATATTGACCACTGCTCTTCAACTTTAGGGTGTTTCAATCCCAAGATAAGGAAATACCAAGCAAAAAGCCCACGGCCTTCTGACCACAGCACACTGTAGTTTGGGTAACAGTGGAGAGGGGCGTGGAAACCCAACAGCTCACCTGCCCTGACACCGCTCCCAAAGAAAGCCTCTTACATCAGAACACAATTAGTAGCTGACTTTTGAAAGCAAAGGAAGAGGAAGGAATGGTCCTAGATCCATAAGATTTGGGGGTTACCTAAGCAAATCAGGCATGCACTGAGGTCCTGTCAGAGGTGCATAAACCAGTGATCTCCTTAATAGTGACTAAGTTCTCCTAGTGTTACCATGCTTGCAGATCTCCTAATCATTTTTCAAATAAGTGGACTACTTAACCATATGACTTTCTTGTTTCACCTGCAGTAGTTGGGTATATTTAGTCTGGCAAGAGGATTTACTCCCTGTTTAAAATCAGGTTTATTGTTCATTCTGGAATTTAGTGGCAGGAAGGTTGTTCATATCAATTTGAATCTGGACATTCCTCATTTGATATGTCAATAGGAGGGAAACACAGGCTGGGCAATCATTAGGATTTTAGATCTTGCAATGCCAGTGGTGGGAGTCAAGTGATTAACAGATAAGTATTGACTTTACAAGCACTAGAGTCAAAGAAAGAAAGTTTCTTCAACTGAGTAGGATGCTAAGATGTTTCTCCCTCCCAGGCCCCATGCACCAACCACATAAATGGTGCAAAGAGAAATTCTAGAGAACCAACAGGACAGCTGACTGACTCACCCACTCAGACCCTCCCTGCTTCTGTGAAGGCTCTCACTCCTGGCTACCCGAGCTTGTATCCCTTTCTTTGAAGATTTCCTCAGTGGTGTGATATGTCTCCACCCAAAGATCGTACTGGCTAGGAAATCCTAGAGAATTCATTCCCCTGGAAGCAGCTCTTGACCAGTCAGTGGGAGTTAGGAGGTTGGGTCCTCCAGCTCCTTACTGTTGTAAGTCTATACTGGTTTCTTGAGGTCTCAGAATGACTAAGCTGTAGTAGTTTTGGTGACCTGTCCTTTGCCAACAGCTTTCCCCAGCTTATCCCACTTTCCCCAGCCCTGACTGTTTCCAGGAATCACAGAGCACTCCCACATACAGCAGCAAGTCAGCAGGTTGCACTTTACATCACCCATCGCTAGTCTGCTTCTAGAGAACAACACACTGCAACCTGGTGCCCATTTCTCCTTGGGCAAGGTAAGCAGCCAGGGGAAGGGGTGGACCAGGAAGGCCACAGTGCTTCTGGAGAGCTGGCACTCTAATGAGTTTCCTGAGTTCCAGCTGGGTGAGTCTGACCCACTTCTGCATCCTTTCCAACCCAGCACATCGGCTGCCAGGAGCAGGGAGCATGGGGGTAAACATGACATTTTCCTCACGCTCAGCAAGACAGGAAGTTCATTAAGTTTGGTATAAATCTTTGCCTTTAAAGTGCCAGTTGGTGATTTATTTTCTCCTTCTGTTTAGATTTTTAGAGTGTAGGTGCCAACCTCTGGAATCCAATCCAAAACCCCAAGCGAAGTCCTGTTGATAAATCAACAAAAGCCCTGTTTGCACAATGCAAGCCAGATGCAAATCCTTTATCCTTGAGAGGGAGTCTAATGATCATTTTCCAGTGTTGTAAAAGGTGCCATGGCAAAGCATCTCACTAATTCTCACCTTGGCTTCTAAAAAACATCCTCCGGCTGCCTTTCTTCAAAGAAAATCCACAGATAAATAAAATCTCTAGGAACACCATGGGCTGCAAACACATCTGAGGGGAAAGAAAATTGCAGAGAGAGGGCATACTCCTTGAGCATTTGGGCAACATGATCCGCCAGCCTGAGCTCCTTCATCTGCCTAGGGGCTTTATGAAGGATCCCACAGGAGACCTTCGAGAATTGCTGAGACATTAACCTCTGCTTGCTATTAGCTGTGACTTGGACATGTGACTAACTCCCTTTGATCCCCTATTTCCTTATTTTAGGATTGTCAAAAGGATGAAATGCGTTCATTTGTTTGTCCTCCATGTCTGAAAAGTTGATTTAGCATCTGCAGCGTGCCAGAACTGTCCTGGTCTCGGGGATATACAGGTGAACTGAACAGTGTGGGCCAATGGTAAGGGAAGCATTGAAAAGAAGGGATAGAGAAAAGAGCTGGGGCTGTCAGCATGGCTGGCACTAGCCAAACCACGCCAGCCCTCAATTGAGTTGAGTCTTTGTGTTAGGAGCTGTGCAAAGCATCAAAGAGTATTAAGTGGGGCAGGGGTGGTACAACTCAGTAAGGAGGCAGGAAAGAGCTGGTGATATAAGAGATAAGAGCGCAAGTCACCAGTCAGGAGTTGGCACAGCACACGCATCAAGAAATGGAAGTATTGGCCCCTCTCCTCCCATCCCAGAAGTAAGAGTTACCACCCTGCTCTTAACCTAAGCTCTGAGGCAGAATTACCTGGTAACCGAGAAGCTATCACCTACCACCATGATCCAATTACCCACATGGGGACAAAGATCATTTATTGTTTGCGAGGAGGAAATTGGAAATTAAGTTTTATGAGCTAACATAGAAGAGGCTTCTGTTTGATAAGGATCATTGTAAAAATCGTTACACATTTCATATCAATATAGGTAGGGAAGCACAAAAGAGGTTATAGGTTCCAAAAGCAGCATTATAGGACCAAAGACTGCTCAAAGGATTGAGCAATACTCAAAGACAGAGCATGTCTTTAAAACTTCTCGGCAGTTGGGTATATTCAGTTTTGGAGGGGTCTCCATACACATCACACACACACACACACACACACACACACACACACACACACACACACTTTCTGTATTTTGAAGATATGAGTATAATCTATGAGTATAAGCACAGGTATTCCGTGTGTGTGTGTGTGTGTGTGTGTATCCTCTACACACACATTTGACATGCACACACACACATATGGAAGGGGGGAAGAGAAAGAGGGAGAGGGAGGGGAGAGAGAAGAGAGAGGTCTCAATATTCAGCCTTGGCTGGCCTGGTACTTATATAAACAAGGTTAGCCTCAACCTCATTCCAATCCTCTCGCCTCAACTTTCTGAGCACTGGAATCACAGGTGTGTGCTAAAGTCATTTTCTGGTAACTAGAGGAAGTATTTGGTGTTATAGGACAGCTAACTAGGTGCAAGTCAGAGTCACAAAAAAAAAAAAAAAAAAGATCTGCAATTAAATAAGACTCAAGAGTTGCTGAGGGTGGGACATTGGCTTGTAATTTTGGAATACACAGATATGTAAAGATCCAAGAAGGCGAACAGTTGACTGTGGCTGAGCGGAGATTCCTGCTCTGCTTACGTCTTCAAAGCATACACATTGGACAGAACAAATAGCTGTGTCATCATCAAAGTCTTAAGGAAACAACAATAGAAACAAAGTGTTTGTCGTGTTCTTAAAACACAAAAATCTCAGAACTACCTTTCAGGTTTTATTTTGCTCTATTCAAATCAATAATGAGGAAGTGATGATCCGTTACTGACTACAAATTTAATAATCTATCACGAAGTCGAGTCCTGGGGCTCGAGGTGGCTCAGTGGCTAAAGTGCCACTGCACATGCGTGAGGACCTGAGTTCAGGTCCCCTGGCGCACATCTGAAATCCTGACATGACAACACACACCTGTTAGCTCACCATGCTGTGGGGTCAAGATAGACAGATTCTCAGGACTCACTAGCCAGCTAGACTAACTATGTCAATAAGCTCTAGGTTCAAGGAGAGACCCTCCTCACCCTCCCCCCAAAATGTGGAGCATAATAGAGGAGGACACTCAATATTTCAACATTGACCTTTGGCCTCTCCACATACATTGACATCATGTGTGCATGTGCACACACATACACACACACACACTCATACACATATACACACACATACAAAACTCAATAAAATAGGAAGTAAAATCTGAAAATTGGAAATTTAGAAAATTCCAGACTTCTTGATGTATTAAGACATTATCTGATATTTATCATGGGAACTGAAAGATTTAGCAGATAAATTGTTAAAAAAAAAAAAAAAAAGCTGTGGAGCAATCATAAGAAGTGCCCAAATGCTACAGAATATAAACAGTGTATCCTTCAAATAATTCAAACTCTTTGTATTCATATTAAATATTCTTAAATATTCAGACTTACTGGGCTGTATTCTAGAAATGGTCAGCAAGGCAGTTTGTGATTGTTCCCTAGAAATCTTTCAAGAATAAGATTTCAAATATAATAGTTCTGACTGAGTTCAGAATGAAGAGGGAGCATCAGGAACCAAGATAATCTCGCTACAAAGAATTCCTTCCTAAAACTGTTGATTTCATTTTTTACTGTGTTTCCAAATAGGGAAATCAGAGCTCATAATACAGCCACTGCTACCCACCAGCAAAGGAGGCTTGCCCTGGGCACTCCGGCTCTCCGATAAGTTTGTCATCAAAATGAACCAAGGATGAATTTCTGTCAACTTCCTCCTTGTTTTCAGCCCCATCTGCTTCTCTGTCTGCCTTGGATTCAGGGTTCCTATGACACAGTGTATAAGTAAATACTGTGCAGTAAAAGTTGCTGTCTTGTGAGTTACTACACAAATGCCATTTCATATCATCTCTGTCACTGATATTTCATGCCACCTTTTCTGCCATGTACAGTAAGTTGCCATTGTGTGGGGGAGAGCAAAGGCCATTGTTTGGAATTAGTTTAGTGATAATCACCCGGTGATTCTGGACTGACAATTCTGGGGTCATGGAAGATCCATGAAGGAGATGAGAGAAAGCAGCCCACTAGCCCTTGAGAAGTGCCTTAGCTTGACAAGGAGACTGACAGGCTCACTTTCACATGGCCATGCTCCTCCAGGGAGCTTCATTCCAACATGGCCCTGGAGAAGCTCAGAGACACAGCCTTACATCATCTGTACTATATGTACACTTGGTCAGGCTGTGTAAACTTTGACATGTGGGTGTCAATCTTTCTCATATTTGCAGATGGCTTTATCAGAGCGTGATTAGTTTCCAGAACAAATTTGAGCAAAAGAAAACATTACCTACAGTATGTAAGCCAACAGACCAGCTAGTTTTCAGATTTGTCTATTTACATGGGCACTAGATGTTTTGCTAAAGCTCTCTAAAACTGATGGTAATTGCACAGTGCCAGTGTGTTAGTGGAAGCTGATGAATTGTAAAGGTTTTATAAACAACCAGGGTGGATTTGGCCACAGCCTTCCTAGTAATGTTTGTTAATCTCCCTGAGCAAGTGTGCCCCTAACACAATGTAAATACGCCAGAATTTGGAGGTGTCAATAGTGTAACTTTTACTGTTTGTAAAATCATTCTTTGATATCATCAGTAAGTTTACTGAATGTCCCATGGCCAAATATAATAAAACCTTAAGTAAGCGCTTACAGAGAAATAAGGGAAAACATGTGTTTTATTTTTACCCACTGCATGTTTGTTAAAGGATCGCCGTAGACTGATAAATACAGCCTGTGTGGAGGTTTCTGTCTGGCTTCCAGGGAAAGTGAGTTTATTCTGGGCTGAAAAGGGAAAGGATCTATGTGAAATTATTAAATGGCCAAGTTTCCATATTTGACTGAAGATTCTAGCACTTCCAGGGAAAATCTTTATTGATTTAAAATTACCTGTCAATTCAAAACACCTTTCAGATTTATTTCAAGTAGAATTGAGGATGCAGATGCCGCTGGTGAGAGCTGTGTTCAGGCATAGAAATTCCTGCACACACACCTGTGTATGGGTGTGGATGCAATAGGAATGATGTCCAAAGCTAACTAATGAGTCTCCCATTGTGTCTGAGCTCCCTTGTTAACCACTAGAGGGCTTGTCTGTTTCCCGTAGACAGACAATAGAGAAACATGGTTTCAAGTATCCGAGAAAAATATTTGAAAGCTTCCTTTTGTTATGTTTCCTCCCTGGTTCTCTTTCTTTTTTCTTGGAAAAAAAAAAAAACGCATGGTCACCCCTGTTTTGATGATACCTGTGAAAATTTTGGGAACCTGCCAGACCCCCCTACCCCAGAACCTTTGACAAGACTAGAGCCCTGAAGGTTAACAGGCAGCCAGCCCCCAGGACTACAATATTGATGGGAGAGAAAATGAAATGGTGGTGACATTTTAAAAGAGGAATTTGTGAACCACAGATCAGCATGGCCGGCAGCACATAAAATCAATACAAATAACTGAAACCTTAATACCTTGATCCGGGGAAGAGGCTAGCTTTATCAGGCAGTGGGAGGGGGCAGCGGGAGGGCCATCTGCTATTGACTGGCTTAGGAGATGCATTAAGCCAACCACAATTATGGCTGAGGTGTTTTGTTTGTTTGTTTGTTGTTTGTGTGCCTTCAGAGCCATCCTGCTCCTGCCACATTGATCTAGCAAAAACAAGAGAGGCTTCCACGTTCTGCAAATCAAGTTCTGCATTTGAATGTGTTAACACAGATCATGTGGCCTTCCCCTAGTACGGTGTCTAAATGCCAAAAGCCAGTCTTCCCCATTGTGAACTCGTGCGTACTGCTCTCATGGTTCACTGCGAGAAGGAAAAGTCATTTTCTCTTCATTGTTGTCTGAAACTTCGCTGTGGGTAATTAAGTTTGTGCAGCTAGCCAAAAAAAAAAAAAAAAAAAAAAAGTCAAAGAGAGTTCAGACCTGATATTATAAAAGGGTGAATGCAGGACGGCAATATGAAACTTTTTGCACAATTGTATCAAAAAGAATAAACTAAGAAATCTGTTGTCAGTTTAATGTGAAAAAGATAGGTTAAAAATACTATGCTTTCTATTTCATGAGGGGTGTGTGTGTGTGTGTGTGTGTGTGTGTGTGTGTGTGTGTGTGTTCCCTTTTGGTAAGTTGTGGCAAAAAATGTGCAGACTACAGGAAAAGTAACATTTTCAAAAAAGTACAATGCTTGGAACACACTTTTAGCCAGTTTTCCTATGGGCAGCCCTCGCCAGGCAGGTTTGATTCAGAAGACATTAAGTCCCGTTACCACCAGATATAGCAGTATGGAGGTCTAATACCAGACCAGAAAATTGTCTTCTTTGAAATCATTCAACCTTGTGATTCTAGAAAGATGTATAAGTAACCGTAAGTAACCAAGCTACCTTGTTTACAACTCACAAAGACTTGGTGGACCAGACCTAGGGCCATCTTTAAAAAGCTGGGAAGCAAATCTCTGAAAAAATATTGAAAATAACAAGAAACTTTGGGCTTTTTTTATTTTATTTTATTTTATTAGTCCATCATCCAGTGAGTAAAGGGATAGGAAATAATGGACATCCCAGCTATCTGTGTGAGCAGGAAGACAAGATGGTAGATTCTATTTTCACTGTGAACTATTCACATTTGCAAACAGTAACTCTGCCTTTGAATTCTTTGATATGCAGGGCAAATGGGCAAAGAGGTGCTTGCCCAGCAGCACTTTGTCTCTTCATAGAACTAGAAAACCAAATGAACCCCTCCTGTTCCCCAGACACAAGGACAGGTGGGTATTAGAGCCAGATGCATCTCAGTCATGCCGGAACCTCATTTTCCCCATGGTTTTCCTCTGCCTTCGAAAATTATGACACTGAAGGACCTCAGAAGACAAAGCTCCTCCAGGGTTCTGGAACCTTCTAAGTCCTCTGCAAACTCATGTTATGAACCCCCGTGGCTCTGAGAAGGCAACAGCCCAGCAGCCTGGCGTTGCGGTTGTTAATGTGTGCACAGAGTAACTCTGTTTGTTTGTAGGTCCTTAGTAGAAGGGTGTCTGATGTTGACTTTTTGAGGCTAATATTGTTTGAATTTTCTCTCTGACTCTGAACCACCTTACAGAGGGCTCTTTTTTTCCCCCTGTGATGTTTGTACATTCATTACCTTTTAAAATGTCTTGAAGTAGTAAACAGTCCAACACTTTCCCCCTCCACACATCCATTGTCAGAAAGAATAGAAACCAGACCGCCAAAGACGGCGTCAGATGCTGTCGCCTGCAGCTTGCCCTGGTCATAAATATCTGGAGCTTTGGAGAGAGTGGGGAGAGCATTCCCACAGGACAGCCCAACATGGTTAAGGCCCCTTTAGATGCTTAGAGAGAAACCCAAAGCCATTTCTAGGAGTGTAGCTGATCCAACTTTGCATTCATGTTTTGGTCCCTAAAATGTTCTGAAGGGAGTGAGAGCTGAGGTTTCACAGGCCCCTCTGTGTCTGCATGAATGTGGGTTTTCCTTAATGCACACAAGACTGAATGCCTCTTTGCCATTTGCTCTGGCAAGAGCTATGAGGAAGGGTTTGTTTTCTTCGGGGGGAGAGGGAGGAGAAAACCATTTCATGAAAGATTCTCACTCTCAATCTCTATGCAAAGAACTGAGGACACACACACACACACACACACACACACACACACACACACACACAGTGGGATTCAGAGTGGGGAAATGCTGGGGCTGGGGTGTGTCCTTCTGACTTCTTGACAATCTTTAGGTGGAGAACTATTCTGTTCTCACAGACCTGTAATGACTACACTGTTGATCAAACCAGAAGCCATGCCATCCTGGCTGCCTGTCAGCTTAGGAGCTTTCTTTTGTCTTTCAAGGCTCTACCACAGATCTTTTCAGAGTCTTCAACTCCTCACTGTGTAGGTCAAGAAGGCAAAGCACATCTCAGCCTACTCCTCTCCGGAGACTCTCAAAAACAAGTTCAGGCCCATTTCTTCCTTGGAGATGTGCATCCCTCATGACCCCTGTGATGCAGCACATGAGAATAACAGGAGAGATGTGAGAGCTGACTAATAACACCAGCTACAGTCTGCAGGGGCGAAGGAAAACCTACAGCACCAAGGGGCCATTTCCTCTATAAAACCACCTTCTTTGAGGCAATAGTGTATTTTCAGGAGGTAGACCAGGTGTGTGGCCCATCACTCAGGTCAAATGCAGTGATCCAAGTCAGTCTTCATCTGTTCAAGGACCCTGGGGTTCAGGATCTTGTGTGGGAAAAAGATCTTTGAGTACCTATGAGCTAGAACATGGCTCTGTGAATTTCATTCATTCAAAGCCCACTGGGGAGGATTTTCTACTCTATCAAGCTTTAGCAACTGCCAATCAGTTAACAGGAAAGAAAACAAATGATTGATCACCACATTCAGGGGTAAAAACATAAAGATTAGGTATTAAGGGAAGAGGATGTCTATGGCATGTGCTACCTGTGGTTGGAAAGCAAAAAAGAAAATGGTGAGCAGAAAGAACAAGATGGAAAGCATCTACCACCACCCCCACCATCACCAAGTCCAACTTTTAATTGAGTCTCATTAGGGAGTCTCTAACACAGACAGGGGCTCCCTCTGATCAGACTAAACTATAGGTACTAAAAGCAGTTTATAAAGACTGAGGCAAGTCTTTAAAACCAGTTTAGGGGCCTGGACAAGACTCCCTTCAGCCCATTCCTCTTGCCTGATAGAAGGGATTTTCATTATTCTCGTTAAGTCCCTTTCTTGGGCTTGGTTCCCTGAGAAGCTGCCCTTAATGTGAAATTAAGCGCCTGAAGTCCATTGGGGAATAGTGGTGTCAAAAGAAAAGGAGAGGGCTAAGTTAGGAGGAGGGATCTGGCCTCAGCACAGACCTAGCAAAGGCCACACCCAGGGGAGCTCAGAGCAGAAGAGTTTTTGAAATAATCTCATGTTGGGCAGAATTTGCTCAAGGCTTGGACCCCTGACCTGCTCTGGCACTGTCCAGAGGCCAGTTTACAAAAACTCAAGCCTAAGATGCATCTGCCAGCTCAGCCTAGTCATCACAGTGTAACAAAGGGTCCTCACTTGAAAGGAATTTTGAGTGGCACATCTTCACATGGACCACACCAAATAATACTTCCTTCTTCATCACCAAGCCTCCATCAGCATTCATATTGTTCACGGCAAAGATTCACAGACACAAGCACTCCGCAAAGAAAAGACCCTGCTGAAGACCTGATCCACTGCCGTGTTTTCACTGTCCTGTGTAACAACATGGTTGCAAAGCCAGGTGTGGTGGCCCATGCTATATGGATATGGATATTGATATCTAGTGCACCACTGAGGAAATTCTAGTTATACTCAAATGTGTATTCTGCCTTGTCGCTTGTGGCTTCCATTTTGCTCCAGGTCACATTTACTCTCTTGCTCATGCAATGTCTACCTTAATATCTGCCTTAGTTTTTTTTTTTTCCTGCTACTGTGATAAAATACTGTGAAAAGCAGCTTAAGGGGAAAAAAAGGACTTATTCCAGTTTACAGCTCCAGAGTATGCTCCATCATGCTGGGGAAGTCAGGCTGGTCACATGGTATCCACAATCAGGAAGCTGAGAGCAATAAACACACACTGCTGTTGGAACTCTCTTTCTCCATTGTACAGTCAAGGATCCCAAGCAGGCAATG